ACTACTAAAGCTATTGTCCCCTCAGTAGCACCGCGGTATGTCTGTGGGGTTACAATGCTAAAAACCGGGTTTCGATACCCGTGGTGGGCAGAGCATAGATAGACCTTTGTGTAACTTTGTAGTTAACTCCAAACAAACTAAAAACATCTTACCTTAAGTGGTTAGACGTTTTGTTATTTATAATTTATGCACTCATTAGGTGATGTTTTTATATATTCTACATGTAAGCGAGTTTTGTAAGAAACGTCTGAAGTTCAGAAGATGGCCAATGATCCACTGATGATCTTCTTAATAATACAAAGGCGCCCGATAATCTTCCTTTACATATTACGTTTCAACTTTAGAAGTTTTGATAGTAGAACAGCAACTGAAGATATTTCTATATTCGCAATACGAGATTGCACTAAAATGTTTGTGCTTACTGACCTTTTTCTGATCAAACGACTCAAGGTTAAATGTAGGTCACGTTCATTTCAACAAAGAAAATAATCCAGTTGTTAAAGTCAGGTAAGAATGCATAAGATCCTAATTCTATTAATATAATCATGCAAACAAACTTGAAATTTTCCCTTTAAACGAGAGCCGAATCAGATATAAGAATACTTACGTTATCCTTTACGTTAGTAAAATCTTCACGCCAGACAATAAACGTATGATGTCTTAATTTTTAACAATTAAATTAAAATCTTCCTGTTTCTATTTTTATCAGTTGTCCAAGACACTGATATATACATTTACAGAAACTTCGTAAACCATATTTTCTTAAAAGATGGTTTGGTTTGTTTGGAATTTGGCGCAAAGCTGCACGAGTGCTATCTGCGCTAGCCGTCCCTAATTTAGTAGTGATAGACTAGACCAGGCCTAAACGATGGATCTTTGCTAAATGTGATACACAGGTTGTCAAAGATGTGGTAAAGAAATGGAAAAATTTACAAACAAATCTTATTAGACAATCTTTATGTTATGATCAACCAATCAGAAGCATCTGACGCTTATGCGGCTACTCTTAACCAAAAAGCAGGATTGACTGTCACAATTATAGCGCTTCTACAGCCGAAAGTGTAGATTGTGTTCTGTGGTATATCATAGTATACCTCCAACCTTCTAATACGCAGCCTCACACGCTAATCTCTAGGCTACGCCCAGCCTAAGTACGTTTATAATTGTTAACCTAAGCTCTACAAGTTCAATCATTTATGCCTTTAGCATAACTTACTATGCTTCTGATAACAATAACAACATTTATTTTCAATAAAGTGATTATTTACTTCGTAAAATATGAGTTAAAATAAATATATTTAAATAAATTGATATAAGTTTAATATAAGAAAATATTTGGTTTTGTTGTTGTTAAGCAAAATGTTTTATTGGACTACCTCCAAGAAAGAAGACACCAAACGTGAAGAAAAAAAACAACAGCATCCTTATCTTAAATATTAGTACCCTTGTGCATTTGGTTTACACTGCTTATTTATATGAGGCAATAAAGACCAAGCCTAGCACGTATGTTCTTGTGCACAGACCGCCTATAGTGATCAGAACATGTCAGTGAATGGTATGTTCTTACTGCTAATCCTCTCTCTCCCTTTAAATAACAGAGTGACGCTTCCTGACTGATGAACTGAGATGTGTTTAATCACACACTACACGGTAAGAGGCTGTCATTTTGTTATGCTACGGTCCTGAAAAGTCCACAAGGTCATTCTCAAATGAATGATATGCTATAGCGAGGGCCTGTCATTTCGAATGGTAAGTATGGTTATGCTTGTGGAATTTAAACAGCGCCAGCAGACATACACATAATCTCACACATACGTGCCGACATGATGCTTGAAATATATTGGCTTTATAACATGCGAATCCCACGAAGACTTGGCAATCAAACCCACACGATGAAGACATTATCACACAAGTTCTATATAAACATATATCATTCTATATGCCGGAAGGAAACAAGAAAAAATTGCCTAACCACTGTTTCTGCTAGCAAGAATTACATCATTAACATGACTTTCCAGCAAAAATAAGACTATAAAATACCAAAGGTACGGTTCACAGAGAGCTCAGTACAAGAACAGACATTCCGAAGTTATAAAGCAGCTGAAGCATAACGATGGTTGAGCACGTATATAATAACTTAGAATAGCTTCGTTATTACGATGAAAAAAAAAACTATTTGTTTTGCAACATAACAACTTCATAAAATTTAGAACTCGAGACAAAGGTTATAAAAATTCCTCGATCACTACGTCAAGTATCATCAAGACAAGTAGTGTTTGTTTGTTTTTTACTTTTCGCGCAAAGCTGTACGCGGATTATCTGCTTTCCCCATTCATAATTTTGAGGAGATAGACGAGAGGGAAGACAACTAGACAACAACACCCACCGCCAAATCGTGGGGTATTTTAGTGAGATCGAATACTGAGTTTTGCCCATTACTCTTATAACGTACCCATAGTTCCAAATTGCAGAACGTGATTATTATTATCAATATTTTTTCCGGTTAAGAGACAAAACCTTGAAACCTTAGATCCACAGTCTAGCACACTAATCACTAAGCTGCGCTAAGCCTAACAAATAGTGGTTAACCCCAAGAACCTCAAATCTATCCAGAACGCTATGCACTGAGCTGCACTACGTCTGAAAAGTAGTAGTAAACACGAAGGAACCTCAGATCTATAGTCTAGCACGCTAACCACAGTAGTGGTAAAGCCCAAAAACACAACGAACACTACGCATAATATCCATGCTTCCATTTTGTTTTCATCTAGAATTTTCCTTTTTCCTTGGATTGACAACTCATTTCTATTTAATCAAATACTTTGTGGGAATCCTCACAATATGTTTTAAGTTAAATAATGTTCCCTTTTCTAATGTATAAGCATTATAAAAATGATCTGAGCATTAATTCCATCTTTTTAAAAAATGATTGGATAGTAATTTGTTTTTAGCGCAAAATTATACACGATGGGCTATCAATGCTCTGTTCACCGCAGGATAATGAATCCCGTATTTTAGCGTTGTTAGCCCTTAAACTTACTGCTGACCCGCCGGGAGACATTTAAAATTGATACTCTTACCCTTTATTTATGATTGGCTTAAAAGTGTACAGAAACGTGAAACAAACAAATACGAGATAGACCAAATTTAGAAGTTAAGAAGGCATAAAAGTTTGTTGTTATTCTAGAGCTATCTGCTGTGTAGACCGTGAAGAAACGAACTCCGGATTTTAGCGATTAAGTCCGTAAGCTTATCGCTGACCCATCGGATCGGGGACAGGCATAACATGAAAATACAGCACAGAAAATAACATGGAGATATACACTTTCTAATGACACCCCTCTTAACAATATTGACTTTTTTTTTATTGGTTGGTTTGTTATTAGGCACAAAGCTACACAATTGGTTATCTGTGCTCTGCCCACCACGAGTATCAAAACCAGATTTTTAGGGTTGAAGTCCCTCAGACTTGCCGCTGAACCACTGGGGTCCAACACAATTGAATAGAAATTATTGAAATCTGACAAAGAATTGTTTAACATGTGCTTTTTTAGGTTTCATTACTGGTAAAATACATGTCGTAATTGAATTTTTCTGGCACACACACACACACAAACATCTTTCTAAAGACACTTTTATCTCTCCAGTCATCACTATGTCATTCATAGCGCCATTTTTAACTGCCTAGAGCTAAAGATAAATTACAAAGTTAAGTCGTGGAAATGAGTGCTCTCATATTTTCTCGAAGCGAGGAACTGGCCTTGGGTTAGTTTTGCCCTTCACTGATATGTTTGTCAACATCCCTTTAGCTTTCCTGACCTGGATGAACACTTGGAATGCATCACTCGCCCCTCTTTGAGCCAACGTAGGGCTTAAGATTGCGAATTTTATTGTCCTAATTGTGCCAGATATACTACTAAAGTCAACACTTTGGAAAGGAACATTCATCTTGGTCTTTATTGGCCAGGTAGAAAGAGATAATGGGTGACTATTTATAGTGTATTAATTAATAATGGTATGGATTTGTGCTGTAACCACTAAGGTTGATTTGTATATGTTCAGTTGCAGCCGATATGAGTACTGTAAGAAGATTCCTTTCCTTAAAACAAAATACTAATATTTTTGGGTTAGAAAAAAGCACATAGGATGTAATAGCCAGATTTTAAAACTTGATAGAACATTCTAACCGTGTACATTTTGTGGAACGACAGCCTGAAATCTATTTTGAGAATTCTTGATGCGAATACGTCAAATAATATGCAGAATTAGTTACCTTCGCTTAATAAAAAAATGTCATGTTGAGGAACATTCTAGAATTCCAAGATACACTTTAGGACAGTAGCTGGATGAACATAAACTAAGCTCTAATTTCAGTTATTTAAAATAAACTAGCGACGCTTTCATTAATAGGAAAAAAAGTGAAAAAACAACCAACAAACTTTACAAATGTTCTTCAATATCAAAGCTGGATGGCTGCTGCATTTTAAAATGTGTAATGGAATACTTCATTTGTCTGACTTTAGCTTCCCCTATATATATTTACGGAACCGGATTTCGAACGGTAGGTCACGTTTTTTTGCTCTTTCAAGAAAATATTCTAAAGTTAATAATTCGTCATGATCCTGACTTAGTGACATCTTAAATGTTTTATATTTTCCTACATCAAGTGTCCGATTTTTGTGGTATACAATTTACAAGAAAAAGACAACCTAAAACAACATACATATAATACCACTATATGAAGGGCGGAATTCCCCGAAACCGGTGTAACTCAATGACACGTGATGAATTGAATGACAGAATGGGCTTCATTTTGGTGTTCAGTAACTTACAAGTAAGTATTTTTGTGTGTTTCGGAATGTGATATGGAAAAACAAGTATCTCATAAACATGATTCTGTAATGTAGCCTTAACATTAGTTGTTATTAAACTCTTAACAATGTTGTTCTCAGCTCTTCACGATTGGTGGAAGCAATCATTTCACTGACCTCGATACTTACCAAAATGTGGGTCCATTAGATGCTTCCGGCGATAAACAAGAAGACGATAGTTCTAGCTTCATCTTCCCATCTTCATTATTGTTTTATTTTGTTTCTTTTATGCAATACTGACAAGAATAGCTCTGGAAGAAGAAAAAAAAACAAATATGACGCTTAGTAAACTTGTTTTTCTAACATATATCACAATTATAAAATCAATAATAAAAATTCTAATAGATTCTAGAGGAAACTTTGTCGTGGGACTGTGTGTGTGTGTTTCTTATAGCAAAGTCATATCGAGCTATCTATTGTGTCCACCGAGGCGAATCGAACCCCTGATTTTAGCGTTGTCCCAGCGGGGAACTTGTCATGGGACACTGGCTAACTGCTCTTTAAGTTCGTTATGCCATAGTTCGCAGGTACGGCAAGGGTTTCCAAAATGTCACCACATTTTTTACATTATAAAATTCTGATCTTTTCAATCCCATGTTTCATGAGCTAATGAGCACATAGAACAAAAAGCAACAATATAAAAATTGTTGAAAATTATAAAAACCATTGTTTCCATTTTCTCCATAAAATATACGCTTGGATCTCGAATGATATCAATAGCGTCATTATTTGCAAGAAGCTGTTGAAGTTATTTCAAATTGTAAAGGTTGCCCAGAAACGTTTGGAAAAAATTATTATGTACATTCAGTTTTAAAACCTTAAGATATAAACTATAGAAGTGAGTATACAAAGGGGTGTTATGGGTGTTCATAATGTTATTAAGACGTGATCTTTGTTATTAGTCATACTGAACTCCAGTCTCATTCCTGAGACTATTATATATACCAATTATTTTCTATACATACATATAAAAAAAAGATCGGCTAAACAAGGTGTCCGAAAAGTCTGAAACCATAGGTGCTCTGCAGCTTTTCTTAATTTCAGATACGTGACTGATAATGGTGCTGTCAAAGTATGAAAACTTCGAGTTAATCCTACTGTTAAATCCAAATTTGTTTTGAATTACAAGGACAACATGTGGAACACATTCTGTAAAATTCGTTGAATTGTCTATGGTGCCAGATTTTCGGATACACTATACTATACATATATACATATTCTATGTGACAAATATTATTACATGATTTTTGTTTTAGAATAAATAAATGGTGCTTTAAGTTCTGTCATACTAACATGGAAATATAGATGTCGAACAGGTAGCATAAAATAGAATTTACTCAGAAAGTTTAAAAATGTGTCCAAACAGTTGATGAGGATAAGAAATAAAATAGTGTTGGCGATATAACATATCTATTCATTGTTATCCGACTTATTGTAATGAAATTATTTATCGTAAATAAGTCTGACATATTTGGGAAAATAATTCAGTTAAAACTTTTCTATTTATTTTCATATCCATCCAATTAAAAAGCAGAAGACCAAAATAATAACTTCAATAACAAAGCGAACTTTAAAATCAAGTGGTTGAGATGGTACAAAAAACATGTCTTATAATACAGAATTATTTTGTCGAATCCTCATTATGTGGCGTTCTAGGTTTTAGCAATAAATATGCTTTCTACGTAGCTGTAAACATGAGTTGTTAACCAAATATAGCTAACAATCAACTTTACCTATATATATATATATACCAGTTAAAAATAATCCATGTCGCATGGTTATTTTTGTATGTAAAAAAAAGTAGTATTTATAAGCACTTTCACGTATTGAACGGGCATTATTATTTATTAAACCAGCAAATTGTTGTTTTTATAACACAAATGGTAAATTTATTTCATCTCATAACGATAACAGTTACTGTTGATGTATATTGTTAGCTTTAGGGGGCCTATAAAATTATATACACCTATTGAAAGAGATTCCAAAAGAATAGCGACCCTGACGTATTGCGAATAGTTATTTGCCATTTATTCTGTCAAGGTAATAAGATAATTAATACAACGTTAAAATATTTTAAAATGGATCGTAGAAAGACGTACTTGCTTTCATAACATGAATTAATCTGTCTAATATTTCAAACAAAGCTGAATGAAGTGATCAAACTTTGATTTTTTTTTTCCAAAACAACTGCACAATGTGACAAAATAAGAAGAAAAAGACGAACCTGATACAATTTTAGTGGGAGCTTGTTGGCTTGCTAACAAGATACTGGAGATTTAAATTCTGGTTATGCCATACGCTAATTTTCCTTTTTTATCGGTCAAAATAAAATAACAAATCATCTAATACTATATAACACAATGTGCATCTGTCTGTCTGTCTCTCGGTCAGGCACTGATGTCATAGCAGTTTATTATGTAATTCAAATAATTTGGCTTCCTATCAATAAGAAGTGAGTAGTCTACGATTGATCGAAAATTAAAGATATATTTGGACTAAAATGTACAAAAAAATTGCACCTTTTTCGCAATTTGAAAACGTATCTTTGTTAAATCGTCGAGTTACGCCAGAAAGGACGTCAATATACTTTAGCAGACATTTTATACAACATATTGAAAGCTTATCAAAGTTTTTAAAAAGGTCTAACGTTAGGTTGTTGAATAATATTAGAATATTGTTTATTAATAGTATTAAATGCGATAAGGTTTAGCCCTAACTGAACTAAAGCAAAAACGTACACTGATTTTATCGGAGATAGGCCGAACTTGATAAAGGCTTAACTAATGTTAGAACTAAGACAAGTGGACTTATATATTTCAGTGTCTGCGATTATGATTTTTTTTGTATTACTCTATAAATCCTGTATTTAAAGAAGTACTGTTGCAATAAAGATACTAATTTGATCGTAAATGTTTTGCGGGTCTGGTGTGGTTTAACAATCGCTACCCATCACTCTTCATCACAAGTTGTTTACAAAATTATAGTTCACTAGTTTTGATACTTTTTACTTTAATTCGATTCTGGTTGTCATTTTCCTCTTTTGAGGTCAAAGAAGTAATCATTTTCAGTTTGAAATATAAAGGAGGCGTTGCAAAAGAGCATCACGAGAAAGCGTATATGCTTTACAGGAACTTCTTAAGCCATTTCTATTCAGTATAGAATAATATATTATCAACTAACAAACTTCTACGCTTCTTTTTTCAATGAGTGATGCAAGTGACAGTTCTAAAATTTCGTTAATTTTTATTCTTAATACGAAATTTAAATGCCTTAAGAAGAAAACTTTCTGAGAACCTCAACGTTTTGTCTATGGGAATTGTCTCCAATGGAAAAGATACCACTTTTTATTACAAAACAGCCTTATATGGATCACTTGTTTTTAAGATGTCTGATAAAGTCTAATTCATTACGTATTCCTGATTTGTGGCAGACAAAGAACAAATGAGATACTGTAAGTGGACTGTAAATCATTTTACTTCGACTTATTCTTATAGGGTTTGTCGAATATATTCAATACGTCTTGTATTCAGCTACAACAGAACGATATAAACTACTACAGGCTAGCTGGATGACTATCTATACCATTATTGATTATTGCTGTCAGTAACCTCAATAGTAGGGGTGTTGGCTGAAACAGAGTGTTATAGGTTTTTGTCTGAACAAATATAGAAGATGGGGTTAACGATATGGCAGAACCAATTTCCCTAGAGACAGTGACTTATAACTGTTCAGGCACTTACAAATTGCCAGCTGTTTCCCCCTCTCTCTCCATATATTTGAAATTAGAACTTGTTCAGTGATAAACTGGTAGTTTTAAAAGAAAAAAAAAACACAACAACTGAGAATTCTAGTGTACGTACTTTAAAGATTACTCCGAATGGTAATTACTGAGTTTACATGTAGTAAAGATTAGCGGATTTTCGGTCTTAGTCTTATTTCAGAAAAAAGTAATGCCATATCACGGAAAAAACCCAGACAAATTACTCCCAATGGTAATACTGAGTTTACATGTACTAAAGAAATTAGCGGATTTCGGTCTTAGTCTTATTTTATACACACGTATGAATTTTATCAATTATTATTTTAGTAACAAACTTGTAGCGATTACTTTGATATTTGACAATGTGGTAATGCAGAAGCCCCAAGCAGTTTTTATGCATTGACATACGTGCGAAAATTTTGCTAATACCAGTCCAGTGCTTGTCTTGTATTTTACTACGCATTATTTGTATTGTATTCATTAGCCCACGATATCCATATGTAAGATTCTCTGTGTATTTGTGGATACAATTCACGTGATTTTCACTAGTATGGGTATATAGTAATTTGTAATAACTTGAATATAAATCTGTCCATATTTTTAAGTCTATTCATGTTCACAGTTAATTCTGTTGAATAATAGTTGCTTAAAAGCAGAACTAAGTTTCAGTCAGGTTATCAACCCGGAACCTTTTTCCTGCATACTGAAATAAAATAGTCCATAAAACTCCCATTACAAAATAAGTGACCGCTAAATGAACGAGGAACTCACGCGCGTAGTAATTCATATTCAAAACATTACCTCCCACTGACGACCCGGTTCCCTTTAATTTAGAAATAAAGCCCTGCCTAAAAGTGACCTCTAAAAAAAACTATAAACATGTTAGAGAGAGAGAAAAAAGGGAGTGATGGACGCGAAAGATAAATTTAATGAGGTTGTCCAAAAACTTATATTATCTACACTTATATACGAAAATACATAAAACATATTTTTAAGTTACCTGGTAGATAAACCCCCATAAACCTGTTTTTTTAGTGCAATTAGTTAATATCTTTAAAATTTTATGTTTCTGGTAATTTAGAGAGGTTATTTCGAATAAAGCGTAGTTACTTTTATTAAAAGAAATGTCAAATGTTTCTTAATCACTTATGTGTGAGACTTTTCCTTCTTGACCATGTTTTACTAACAGTAGCTTTAGCAGTTCGGATAAGTATGAAGTACAAGTAAAAATAACTTACCCGATTATAATGTTGATATTTGGCAATGTCTTCATACAGAAGTCCTAAGTATTCATATATGTGCGAACATTTTTATAATACTAACACAGTGCGTGTCTTATTCTCCTGCGTATTATTTTAACAATGTTAATAAGTTTGATTTTTTATAGTTATAAATCATTTAAGTCTGAAATTTATTCTGTAAATGATTTTCGTTAAATAACAAACTAACGCACATATATGTTTTTTTTCTAAAATAAAACAAGTACACGAA